ACCCTAAACCCTAAACCCTAAACCCTAAACCCTAGACTCTAAACCCTAAACCCTAAACCCTAAACCCTAGGATTTCAACTTACTTGCAGAAGTGTAAGCCAGAAAGAAAAGCGTCTCACGACAGAAATCGCCGTATTTGTTCCTTGCCTGCATCCCCACAAACCCTAAACCCTAAACCCTAAACCCTAAACCCTAAACCCTAAACCCTAAACCCTAGACTTGGTTATTTTATTTTATGGTGAAGATAGAAAACGAGCTAAGGCAACAACAAACAGCCGCTACAAAGACAAAGAAAGAAAGAAAAGAAGAAAAAGAACCAGCAACAAAAAGAAAACAGAAAAAAAACAAAAAACAAAGAAGGAGATAAAACAACTTAATCATCACCAAGAGAAACAACGCGACAAAAAAAAAATAAAATAAAATAAAATAAAATAAATAAATAAATACAAACCTTATCTATCTCTGCTTGTGCTCTATGTATAAGAGAACGAAGCAGAGGGTCTGGGGCCTGCATGCGCTGCAGCAGCTGTTTGGCTTTATCTATATATTCTTCTGCTGGTTGCAGTTGTTTTATTCTCGCTAATAAAAAACTTTTTATTGAATTTAACAAACAAACAGCAGACACAGAATATAAACCTCGCCCTTCTTCTCCCTCTGCATGCATATAACGGGGCTGTATTCCCCCCCCAGCAGCAGCAGCAGCAGCAGCAGCAGCAGCAGCAGCATCCGACTCCAGCTGATTGATGAACGATAAACCACCCTCAGGTGCTGCAACACAAATAAATAAATAAATAAATAAAATAAATAAATAAATAAATAAAATAAATAAATAAAATAAATAAATATATAAATAAAATAAATAAATAAATAAATAAATAAAATAAATAAATAAATACATAGATGAATGTGATGGGGAATAAGTACATACACTCAATAAATGAATGAAGAAAACGAAAAAATAATTTATTTTGTTTATAAATATAAAAATTAAAATAAACAAATAAACAAATATATTATTTTATTTATTTATTTATTTTATTTATATATTTATTTATTTTATTTATTTATTTATTTAAATATAAAAATTAAAATACACAAATACACAAATATATTATACACTACAAATAAAACAAAACAAACAAAAACAAATATATAGAATAAAACAAAGAAACAAAACAAAACATATAAAAATAAAATAAAAAACAAAAAAAAAAAATAAAATAAAATAAAATAAAAACTTACATATATCCGGTAGCAGCCCATTGGCGAGTTTAATGAGTCTGAGTGGGTCTACATGCAGATGGTGTTGAGCAGCAAAAGCCCGAAAAAGAATAAATTTATTTTTTATATTAAAAAAAAAAGAAAAAGAAAAAGAAAAAGTTTTTGGTTTGCTTGATCTATCCACGGTGTCATTCAGCTCTAAACAAAA